GGGAAAGCCGAGGGCATTCAAAATATTATCCACAATGTCCTTAAATTTAATCTTTCCTCGCTTGGACGGGAGAGTTTTCTTTGAATTGCGAGTAGACGTGGTGTTTATTTTTGGTAACCTCTTACGATTACCTTTATTAGGTAGCGGCGGGGTGGAAAAGCTGCAGCAAGGATCAGCTGGAGCAGCAATTACCGATTTGTTCGGCTTTTTCAATGAATCCCCGCTACCTTCAGATTTTTGCATGCTTTTGAGAGTGGTTTTATTTTTTTTCCGGCGCACTCCCGGGGAGCTAGTCGGCTTCCTTTTACCGGGGGCGTGTACCTCCGGAGACTCACTCTCATCTGCTATGTCAGAGTCCAGTTCATCGGAAGACAAAATCTCAAAAGTGTTTTCATTTTGAGCGGCTGATGCCAACGAAGCAGAGGTTCCATTTTGCAACTTAACCATTTCTGCAAACGTCAGCTTGGAGCGTTCTTTTATTGAACGCTTCACATTGTTGGTACGCTTCTTGTACGCGGGGCAGTCCTGCAAAGCATGAAGAGGTTCTTTGCCACAGTAAGCACATTTAGTTGCTTCCTGTTGGCAAGCACCCTCCATGTGGTCTTGGCTACATTTGCCACAACGGGGCTTGTTGTCACAAAAAGCAGCTGTGTGACCCAACTTTTTGCAGTTGGTACAATTATATACCCTTGGTACAAAAAGTCGCACCGGGAAAAAAACATTTTCAATTTCTAAGAACTTTGGGAGAACCGATCCAGCGAAAGACACCTGTAATGAGCCTGAACTGGAGTCGCTTTTTACGCGGGTGATACGTCCCGCGTAAAAAAAAAAAAAAAAAAAAAAACCGCGTAAAAAAAACCGCGTAAATTCCGGAATCCGCGTAAAAAAAAAACCGCGTAAATTCCGAAATCCGCGTAAAAAAAAACCGAGTAAAAAAAGACCGTGTAAGAAAAAAACGCGTAAAAAGCGATATACCGCGTAAATTCTGAAATCCGCGTAAAAAAAAACCAAAATCCGCGTAAAAAAAAACCGCGTAAATTCCGGAATCCGCGTAAAAAAAAACCGCGTAAATTCCGAAATCCGCGTAAAAAAAAACCGAGTAAAAAAAGACCGTGTAAGAAAAAAACGCGTAAAAAGCGATATACCGCGTAAATTCTGAAATCCGCGTAAAAAAAAACCAAAATCCGCGTAAAAAAAAACCGCGTAAATTCCGGAATCCGCGTAAAAAAAAACCGCGTAAATTCCGAAATCCGCGTAAAAAAAACCGCGTAAAAAAAACCGTGTAAAAAAAAACCGCGTAAAAAGCGACTCCAGTGTATCGGAAAACAAAATCGACGGAAAACAAATCAAGGAAACAAAAACAAACAAAAAACTCCATTGCCGCAGTGCCAGATGAACTGTCAATCGAGAGCAGAGCGTAAAATTATTGACTGCCTAGGCTGAGTGTGAAAGCACTGCACTATTCAATCCATTGCTCTGTGCAGACCGTTTGTACCAGGCCAGTGACAAGGCCTATACCAACAGCAGCGTTTGACAGTAGGCAGCATGCCCCGGGCTCAAATCATTTATTTTGCTGTTCTGGGCCCGCTGTCACGGTATAACATGCTGCCTACGCGCCTGCCACTGGGCTGGTTTGTACCAAAGGGTAAAGCTAGGTTTAGACTAGGCAAGTCAAATGATCAACTCAGTTGAATTCTTGAAAAGTTGAGCCTGGTTCAACTTTTTCATGGTTTACACGTTGAATTCAACTGACTTGATCAATTGACTTGCCCTGTCTAAACCCAGCTTAAAGGACGAGGCAATGAAAGAGCCAACAAAAACATTCAGTCACTCACGAGCAGGCGACGCACACCGCTTACCTTCGCTCACACAGCATGTAATTGAGTCATTTTTCCATAGAAAATGTACGCTCAGTCATTCAAAACAAATATTGGGTACCATCACGGCAGAATAAACGTGTTGACTGAGCTACTGACTGAGTGCTCGGCTGTCAGTGACTCGTTTACCTCTCAATCATTCAGACTCTCACGAGTGAGTGAATAATGAGGCAGATGGCCGTTCATATTCATATCAAAATGACTCGATGAACCTGACTGTTTTGCGTACTGATCGAGAGCCCAACGCAGGGAAAGCCCTCACCGCACTCACAGATGGGAACACTCAGACCGAATACTCTTTTGTCTAAACCATCTCCAAGTTCTAATAAAACTGGTACGGGTTAAACCATATCGGAGGGCTTTGATTCCTGCTGATAATGTTGACGTTGAAGTTGATGGGGGTTGGCGAAACGACAACGGACTCAACCCAGCCGCGGAGTAGACGATGCTCGTTTGAAGTAGAAGCTTGCCATGTTCTGGTGATGAAAATACTTGCTCAGATGACGGAGCTTACAAGACCGGATCTGGTCCTGACAAGATCTAGGCTTCAAGTCAAGTAGTACATTCAAATTTTTGTTCACAACTGCTGACAACAGACAACTGAGTTGACTGATTTGGTACTGAATCTGTCGTTCGGCTTCACAAACTGATAAATATGTGAGGGCAATATAGGGTGTCCCAGAAAGTATATGCACAATGTCATCCTTATCAACTGCCCGTGTTTCCACGGATCACGGGAGTTGTACGGTCTGGCCGACAACATTCGGGACGTCCTCCAAAACGACCCGGTAGCGGAAATCCAACTCATCTGCTTTACGAAGGAAGCAGGAATCTACAAAAATATTTAAAATACGATATTGATAGCAGGCCCGGCAACCCTGCCGGCAGCGGCTGCCAAGGTCACCTGGCAGTTTCTGCCGGTGGGGCTCTACCGGGGTCCTGAATTTAGTCACTATAACACGAAAAATACTATTTTGATAGCAGGCCCGGCAACCCCTGCCGGTAGCAGCTGCCAGGTTCACCTGGCAGCCTCTGCCGGTGGGGCTCTACCGGGTCCTTTAGACAGCCTTTGAAATGAAAATTTGACAGCTAGCTGAGACAGGAAACATAAGTTTCAAAAACCAAAACTCTGTACATTCTAAAAACTCTGTAAACCCCCTTTTCCCCTAGGAATACCCCCCTCTGGGGTATTCGGAGACGAGCCAGCCAACGGCTGATAGTCTCCTTATAAAAGATAAAAAAAAAAAAAAAAAAAAATATGCACAATGTATTATTGGAATTAAGCAACGTTAATTATTTTTATTATTGTTATTGTGTCAAAATTAAGCAACCTTACGTTAATGCACCCAAATTTTTATTTCATATATGAGGGGGTTAGAAGGAAAGGGGTGTAAGTGACTTTGATCGATTCTTTTCATCGACTTTCTCTTTTGATAGCCACAGCTTTATAAACAGATTTTGCGCTATTTCTGCCACATAGTTTGATAAAGGGGGATCTCATCTAGCATCCAGAATGGCACACGAATCAAGGAATGTGTTTGCAGCTGAATTATCAACAAAAGAGAAAGTCGATAAAGAAAATCGATCAAAGTCACTTACACCCCTTTCCTTCTAACCCCGTCATATATGTTCTCCAGTGGCGTCGCACTAACCTCAATCTACCTGTTCAACAACTCTCAAAACGTAAACAAATAAAAAAAAAAACTGATTACAATGGATATAAATCAGTGAAACTAGAAGATCCTGTGCCTTTTGAAACTGATTTGAATGTAAACATGACCCTAAACAACGTTTTCAAAGTTGTTGAGCAGTTAAAAAGTGAGGTTACGCGACGCCACTGATATTCTCTCTAGTATTCTCTTTCAATTGGATGAAAAAATCAGCAGTTCCTTTAATCGTATGCCAAAGGAGCAAACTTTTGATCTGACGCAACTCATAAACTTCAGCACAGATTCCTTGGCGATAAGTTTGGCCCTTTTTGTCCAGTCTTTTTTCAAATTCTTCGATTGAATTCGCTGCCTTAAAGTATTTCGTTAGATATCACTTGAAAAGGGCCCAAAAAGTTTCAATTGATCGGGCATCCGGACAATTTGGAGGATTCATCTATTTTGGCACGTATTGCACTTTGTTTGCTTTGTACCAAGCTACCGTTACTTTCGAGTAGTGCATTGACACCAAATCGGACCAAATAGTACTGGGCATCATGTTGACGGATCATGGGTCCGATTCAAAATTTGACGTTACATCGTCCATGATTACACACGCCAATTTTCCATACAGCAGGTTATCACATAGCTTCCGAGCCCGCGGTATGACAGTTACGGCTTATTTCTGATTTCGTTTCGGCTTCTTCTGCTTCTTGAACGTTGCCAGTACGTTTCTTGCCTTGGCATGTTGCACGTTACCCTTCGATGTTCTGTTTTGTTCTGTTCTGTTTTTATTTTGGCCAAATCTCGAACAGAGGCACTTTTCTTATTGACGAAAGCTTGGGTGATGTTCCGGTCCACCGGTCTCAAAGGTAACTTCTTCACCGTTCCGTATGGCGGTTCGGACTGCTCTGATACTTGCTTCCTATCTAACTGAGAGGTTGGGAATAGTGCACCATTTGTGCATGATCTGTTTGCACTTTTCCGGGGAAATTTGATGATATTGTATAAAAAAAATGCACTTTGCGCACCAGTTTGTTGAGCAATAAGTAAACAACAACACACATCTATGAACAGCTGATAAACTTCATCGGGGTAGAAATGGCGCCGAGTTGAAAGTGTGCTTATACTTTCTGGGACACCCTGTATTCGCCGATCTTTGATCCAAACATTGTACATTGCGTCTGCCAGGTGCCCAATTCCAACTGTGTCATGTGATATGGCGCAAAGTTGATCGTTCTTACTGTAGAACCTTGGCTGTTTTGTTTCGTTTTAATGTCGGTGCTTTTGGCTTACGAACTGCTGGCGGGCGAAGCAACTCGATGCACATTCAGATTTCGCAACCGAACTTGACCTCAGACAGTTGGTTGCTTTTCGGTAATGAGTCAATTATTTTTACAAACGTTGATGATAAGAACATCGATCAAGAAAACCCACCAATAGCTTCTATCCCCTAAAAAGCCAATTTGATACTTACCAGTCAGTGATACCGTAGATATCCTTCAAATGCTGCTTGAGTATTAGTAAAAGCATGACGCCCTGCGCCGCGGTGATGCAGTTCTGCAATTCGGTCGTATCATCCGGTAGTCGATTGAGAATCACATCCTGGTCATCATCGTCGTCATCCTCCAGAGGATTCGGTGCTGCAAATAATGAAAACAAAAATCAACACCGATAAACACCGTCGAAACCGTTGGGGAAACTTACCCTGCTCTGGGTTGCTCTCCGCGCCAGGCGGTGGTTTCAGCCCCTCACGAAATGTGGCCAGAAGGTTAGTGCCGGTAACGGAAATCAACACATCAATATGATGAATTATATACAGTGGCTCGTCCTGCACCGCATACGGAAAGTAGGCCAGATTGTCCGCCAGGTAGAGCATTTGTTGCAGCGAGATCTTCCCGTCGTCGAACTGCTTCGTAATCGACTGAACGAGCGCTCGCCGCTGGGGTTTGGTGTTCCGCAACAGAGTATACAGAAAACCATTCATCGCGCTCGGTGGTTCCTGGGGATCTCTGATTCTGTGCGAGGAAGATTTTGATTTATATAACGCTTTCTTATGGAACTGCCGGAAATCTTACCTATATCCTCTAACTATACTACTGTCGTCAAGTTTTTGCAACAAGACTTGCAACTCGTACGAGTACTGCAACCCGGCGTGAGATTTCATATTTACAAAGCCCGGATACTGCTTGTCAATCTCCTGGAGATGACGATCTGCACTATGTGCCACCTTCGAATAGAAAACAATCATTATGAATTTGTCAACCAGTTGATCAGCGTGATCATTCTAAATACCTCTTTCTCTGGGTCGGTACTTAAACATATTAGGAAAGGAACTATTTGTACTGGATGTACCAGACCCTGCCGGAGCACAATCTCAACCACACGCATTGCCCACATTCGCACTCCGGTGTCTCGGTGGAGAAAACTTCGTAGAATTTCCTTCAAATATATTTGAATCACCCTGCTTGCCATGCCGGACGATACGTCACCCATTTCCTTCAAGTCTTCGGTTTGTGATTGCTTTGCCCCTGTTTCATCAAAAAAATCAATTAGCGAAATCTTCTCTAGCTTTGCTGCCACCTTCAAACCTACATTCTTTGTCGTTTCGAACCATCTTGTTCTCCTCCTCAGTCAGATACATGAGAATGTTCTTCAGCACGACAATCTTCATCTCCGTTAGTACGGTTTCCTGCGTCAGCAGGTAGTTGTAGTATTCCCGCAGTTCCGTCTTCGTCAGATACTCGTAATTCTTCACGCAGAAATTACCCATCGACAGCAGAGTTTCCTTGCAAATTTCACTATGACTACAGGACAGAAAAAATGCCAACGTACTGTACACGTCTTCGCAGATGTTGGCCGGTAGCGATCCTGTAAAAAAAAAGTTTTCTATGGTCGAGATATGCGAAGAAAAAATCAAGAATTTTACCTTGCGCTTCGTCCTGTCCACCGTAAACGTCCGGTTGCTTGAAGTCAAAGTACCGCATGATTAATCCTACCGTGTAAATACTTCGCCTAAACTGGGGCCTATACAGTTGCTCTATCGGTATCGACGGATCGGAGATTAACTTTTCTTTGCTAGATACTAATCCCTTATAGTAAAATCTGAAACAGTAATACAAAAGGTTAGCTAATTGTTCCAGAAAACATAGCTGCTCAACGTACTTAGAAAAACAGTCTCGTATAAGTGCGTAATTCTTGGTAATCCTATTTACAACCCCCGACAGACAGGACACACAACTTAATACCACCGCTTGGCTCTGCGTCACGATCAGCATCATCAGATGCGATTCGAGATCGGCAAGGAAGATTTCACTGGGATGTTCCATCAGTGGCACCACCTGGAAAACAAAGTCCGCACATTAGAGTCGCACGTTCCAAGGAATAAAAGTGCACGTATCCCTCGCACCTGTTCTAAAATTTCCGCCACACTGCTGATAAATTTGTAGTTGATGGCATTCTGGCAGCGTATGTTGAGGTACGGTTCCAGTGTCATCGCGTGGTTCACTAGCAGCTGGGGTTGAATCTTCGAGAAGAGATGGAGCGCCGTGATGCAGCCGACCAGTTTCTTGTTTTCGGAACTTTCCAGTTTCATCGTTGCGTCCACCAAACCGTCGACGATCTGCTGGCACGCCTTGATTAGCGTTTTCGGAATTTCCTTTTTCGCCTTCGAATCTTCCTTGTTTTCTTTGGGCTCAAAAATCTGCAAGGAAATATGAATTATTCACTGGCACTGATACTAGAAATGTCCAATTTGCTTGAAAAAAAACAATGGTTGGCATTACGGAGCTTTACCCTCTCCTTCCCATTGTGATCCACAACTTTTCGGTCCGTTTCATGTTTGTCAATCTACCATAAAATAGTCAATACTTATTTAAGCTTCTCCGGATGTTCATTATTCTAGTCCATAGGTATTCTTGAGGATTCAACTGAGTAACTAGTGAAAAATATTTAGAAAACTTTTTTTTTTAATCAAAAGCTTTAGCCTGTATGGAACATCGTTTACTCTTATGTTTAATACATTTTGCATCTCAAAACAACGAAAAACATCCTAGGGGGTTACCAACAAACTTTTACCCTTCTCTGTTTAATCTACAACTACTGTCAGAATGCAAAACGAGGAATCGAGGGTTGACTAGATGTTAACTACTGGCATCAGAATAATCTCGAGAATAATAAATGCATACAGAAGTGAAAAGGTAAGAAAAAATCTTGATCCGTTGTTCAAAACCTCCCATCAAACCCCGTAATGCCATCTTAATTTTTCGTGTATACGAGTTTTGTGTGTCCTTTTAAATACATACCGATTTGAGCAGCGCATCGAAACCGTGAGTTCCAGTCTCATGGGACGAGCAAACAACATCGATAATTTGAGTAATTTTCCTATCCATTGCGGCCTGAAAGAAATAAAACGAGCACGTTCAACAATCGTCTCTTGTGCCCTCCCAAATTTTGATCAGTTCTTACCTTATCATTAGGATTGCACGGATTGAACCACATGGTCATGAAGACATCCATGACCAGCTTCTGAATACCCTCCTCGTCGTTGACCCGGCGAATCATTTTCACGCAAATGTCCGGAATCTTGTCCTGCTCCGGATACTCGATGCAAATGTCCCGTAGAATTTTGATTACCCGTTTTCTCACCGAAACACCCGTATCCTACAAATACCAAAATCAATCAAAAAAAAATCTTAGCAAATTCATCCCAATGCTCACCAATATCCGCTGCGAAATCATCTCATAATACTGATCGATAAGATCCGGATCGGACAGGATGTACTTCCCCACCAGATCCACGGCCGCTTCCCGCACCGAGATGGCCGTATCGAGGAGCTTCTGGTGGACGCCCATCTGCATGTCCTTTCGCGCTAGCACCATCTGGTCTACCTCGACGATGTTGCCGAGACACTTCATCGCACGGGTCCGTATCGCAACGACCGGCTCCCGTACGACCAGGATAATCTTCTGCAGGTATTTGTCGAAACTTTGCGAAAATGACCGCTTGCTGGCCAGGTATTGCGCAATCAGGTTTGCATTGCCATAATCGATGTAGGTTTTGATTTCACTCACGTTGGCGTTCTTACCTCCGAAGGGGCAGACTTGCGACAGGTAGGTCGTCTTCCGAGTGTCCAGCAGCCGGAAAATTTCGCTATTCAGTTCCTGATCGACGCCAGGTTTGACTTCCTCAATATCGGAATCACCCCGACCGCCGTCCGAGTTGTCCGATTCGCTAGCGATGTATTTTTTTCGCTTCTTCGCTTGCTTTTTTCGAGATGCGTATCCTTTTTCGCCATCGGCGATGCTTTTCTTCCGTTGAATGATGTCGCGGTACCATTGTGTGATGTAAAAATGCCTCGCATGGTTCCAAACGATGTTCCCTTCCTGAGCATTGGCCGCTAAGAAATCGAGTAGGATCTTCTGCAAGAATTCCGTTCGTTCTTCCTCTTCGTCCAGTTGAAACTTGGAGTTCTTCATATATTCGTCGCCTTCTTTTTCCTGTTCGATTTTAATGTATTTGATCAAAGAATCCATCGTACGCACCTTGCATCGGGACTCTACGGTGTCTTTCCGTAGCCGAGCAGCCACGATACCGAGATATTCGAGCGAAACTACCCGAATCGATTGCTCTACGCCCTTGTCGGACATTTTCTTCACCAGCATCGTCCCCAACAAGCTTAGCAGCAGTTCCGAAGCGGGCCATTCGGGTTTGTTCACGGTCGTCAGGAGGTCGTGTATGAAGTTCTCAAATAGAGGACGGAAATCCGTTTCACTTGAGCGACTTTTGCACTTATCTAGGAAGGTAGCCAGAAAGTTTCCCCCAATGCTGAGAGCCGTATCGTACTTTCCGATGATGTAGAGATCAGCCGATTTCGGATTGCTGCTATTTACTACAGCTTCGTTGTTTGCTTTCTTCGGGTTGTTGTCGCCCATGGATTCCGGTAGGACTACGGCACACTGGATCAACTGAAGCACGAGAGCCGTCATCATCTGGATGTTTCCCGCATTGTTGACCAGCTTGTACGGGCGGAGATTCCGTTTCGAGTGCGGAAGACGATCGATCGACGAAAGGATGTCCGCGACAATGTTCCGTCGATGGTGTGAATACTTTTCGTTTTGGAAAATGGACGTCACCAGATCGAGACAAACGAATTGCAGCGTCTCGATGTTGTCTACGAAGAACGGCTCAACGCCCAGTGCCGACGCGTGTATCACAATGGTATCGACGAAATGAAACTTTTCGAACATCGTCACCAGCTGTTTTCCCAGTTCTACGATTTTCGTATACAGCACCGAGAGACCCTTCTGTTGATAGGATGGTATCTTTTTCGACTTCTTGCCATCGCTTTTTTTCTTCGTCTCGACCGAGTACACGGGATCATACGAGGGAAATACTGTTTCTCGCAGCTGAAACTGCACAAACTTGATGATCGCATCGATGTTATCCTCCTGCAGGAATTTTGTGCTCTTGCAGGTATAGATCGAACAAATCAACAACGCCGCTTCCATAGCATTCAAAATCTTCTCGATGCACTCATCCCCGACCAGATCGTCCTGCAACTCGGTGCCGCTAAGGTTTTTAGCTGAGTGGATCGACCGCATCGCGTACGTAATCAACAGGGTCAGCTTATTTTCCGGAATAGCATCGATTGCATTCCGCGCTTTCAACTTAGCGGCCTCTGAACTAATACTACTGAGCATGCTGGTTGGAATACACTCGAACTGCTCGTCTCCATCGTCCAAATTGGGCACCTCAGTCTCGTCCAGCTGATCGAATATCTTGCCCATAATCGACATAAACCGCTGATAGGTGTTGGTATTCATCAGTTCCTCCTTGGACATCTTCTTTACAACGGGCGCTACCATCCTTTCAACTTTCCGCAGCTTTGGCTTACTAAACATATCCTCCGGATTAATTGCATCGTCCTGGGCCTTCCGCTTTGCTAACAAACCGGTATACCTCTTTTCGTCTTCTTTCATCTTGCTGAATATCATTTCAGCGTTCTTTTTAACCAGTCCTAATCGCATCGCCAGCTTGGGTTCTACCTGGGAAAACTTCTTCAAATCTTCCTGCATCATCTTCATATGGTCTTCGTTAAGTTTCTCCACTCGAATCGAACACTTCTTCAGATTCAAGGTGTCCACGTCTGCCATGCTGATCATTCTACAGAGTTTCTTAAGATTAACTCGTTGTGGCTTTTTCATTGGCGTCTTATTCGGCTGCGGTTGCGGTTGAGGCGTCTGCTGACTCGCACTGGAAGGCGTCGTGGGAGCTACCGTGCTAGTCGGTGGCCTCATTATGGCTCCCGATATTCCAATCGACGTTACCGGTGTTGCGGTGGTGTTTGGCTTCGGTAGCGCATTCAAACCCGCCCGGTGCAAAGCACCCGCAACAGAAATCGGCCTAGGACCCGTCGTTGGTGTGGTAGTCGGCGGCGTACCTCCCGATGAAATGCCACCAGGACGCGGTTTGTTCGAAGGAGTAGCCGTCGGCGTCGGTTGGTTTATTCGCTGCACAGGAGGAGTAGCTGCCTGAGCTTGTTGGTTTTCCTGTTGCTTGCGTAGACTGGTTTGAGTTGGGTCCGTTTCCGGTGCCGTCGTACCCTGGGCCGGCGACGGACGACCTCGGGAGTCTAGATTTTTACTCTGCTGTTGCTGCAGATATTCACTATTCCGTGGTGCCGCTTCCGGTGTCTTGATAAGGTGGTTAGAATTGTGTTGTTGTTGCTGCTGTGGTTGTTGTTGGGTGGGAACGTGCGGGCGTGGGTGCTGATGGTTGTGCAGGGCAGTAGTGCTTCCATTCTTCAGTTGAGATTGCTCGGTGATAGCTGGATGAGATTGTTGCTTCGCTACTGCCAGCGGCGAACGCTGTTGTGGTTGTTGTTGTTGTAGTGGCTGAACGTGGTTGGTTGTGTTCTGTTGTTGTTGTGGGTGGTGCTGTACTGGCGAGGCACTGTTTAGATTATTATTCATGTTTATCACATTTTGGTGCGGTTGTTGTTGTGAAGCAGCTTGCTGAAGGTATGTTGCCTAAAATGAAAAGGGAGTTGAGTAAATTCTTACGAAGGATATTCCAGAAATGGAAAATGTAACGTTCGATCTTGTTGATTCAATGGAAGCAGCTTGTACCAAAATAAGATTTTGAGTGTGATTATATTCAAAGTTTTCTTCCATAAGGATTTCAAATGAATTTTAATTTGTTTTTCTTGATTAATATTTATTTAAAAAAAAAGTGCCACAATTCATGGCATCAGTTGTAAGAATACATAAATCCTAAGAATGATCTCATGCAGAGACGAACCAGCCCACGCCTGAAAGACTCTTTCTAGCAGACAATAGTTAATAATAATATATAGAATGACCTCAAAAACAACTAAATGACCTTGCAGATTTCAAAACGGCCTTTAAACTTTGAAATTGCCCGAGAAGCTCTAACAATAAAATATATAAATATAGGTATATAATTCTTGCTTTGAAATTTCAAAACTTGCTCCAAAAACACTAAAAACCCTAAAAAAAAACCTTAAATACCCAAACAATGGCTCAAACATAAATAATAGATAGCGTCTTGATCGGATTTTAACTTACTTGACGTCTTCGTTTAAGACTATTTGCTACAATCCTGGCTACAATATAGAGCAGGCCTGTCCAACCTTTCTAATCTTGTATTTTTAAAAAGACTGTATATTTGTTCGATGAACATGTTTCAAGCTGCATTTTATTTATTTCTCATTCATTCTGAGTCAAAACTCATAATTTTTTTATTTTATTTTATTTTTATTTTTATTTAATACATCCATCTGACAATAAGTCTTAATGAACCAGAAGCCATAACAAATACTAAATGTATCCGGAGTTAATAATACGTCTCTGGAATTGAGCAGCAGGTTCCCCAAACTCGAACAACTCTTCAACTGTAGAAAACGTGCGAATCATACTCGTAACAGGTTCATGTTGTCCAAAAGAAGAGCGGTGTGAGTCTTGACGCAATAGGAACGTTGAGCGTAGAAATCTGCTTGGCGCACGAAAGTTCAAGCAAGAGAGTAAGTGGGTAGAGTCAATTTCACCACTTAATAACTTCGCGACGAATGTTGCCTGTTGAATTTGTCGCCGTCGTTGTAACGTGTCCATGCTTAGCAAGCGACATCTCACAGCATACGGAGGTAAGTTTAGTGGATCTCTCCAAGGAAGTTGTCTTAATGCTCGACGAATGAATGTTTTTTGGATACGTTCTATTCTGATGTTCCAGGAAAGTTGGTAGGGAGTCCAAACAACAGATGCAGTCTCGATAATCGGACGAACGAGTGAACAGTACAGTGCTTTTAAACAGTACGGATCCGAAAAATCTCTTGAGATTCTTGATATAAAACCAAGCTGACGATTAGCCTTAGTGATTACCATTGAACGGTGTAAGTCAAACGTAAGTTTAAGGTCCAGCATTACACCTAGGTCGCTTACTTGTTCTACTCTTTCTAGTACAAATCCATCAATTGAGTAATCGAATACGATTGGCGTTCTTGTGCGATTAAATGTCATGACCACACATTTTGATATACTGACGGAAAGCTTGTTTAAGCGGCACCAATCAACAAATTGGTCTAACATAGCTTGGAGCTGACGGCAATCCTCGACGTTCTTGACAACAATGTATAGTTTGAGCACACAACCACTCGGCAAGAGGAGCGTCACATCGTTGAAGAAGATTGTGAACAGCAATGGTCCTAAATTGCTGCCCTGGGGAACACCGGAGGTTGCAGCAAATGGTGATGAAGTGCACGAACCCAGCTTGACACGAAGTGTTCTGTTGGAAAGATATGATTTCAGCCAATCAACCAAACCATCCGAAATTCCCAGGCGAGACATTTTCCGAAGAAGAATACCATGATCGATGCAATCGAATGCCGCTTTCAGATCGGTATAAACGGTATCTACTTGAGCCCTATTTTCCAAGTGATTTATACATGTTGAGGTGAACTCCAGCAAATTTGATGTAACTGAGCGTCCTGGCATAAATCCATGTTGCGTTGCTGAAATGTAGCTCTTGACATGAAAGAAGATAGCATCGTTCACAATGATCTCGAATAATTTTGAAGCTGCAGATAGACTTGTTATGCCACGATAATTTGTCACGTCACGTTTGTCGCCCTTCTTATGGACAGGGAACATAAAGGAATGTCTCCATATTTCGGGGAAAACTCCTTGGTGCAACGAAGCGGTAAAGATGCGAGCTAGGGGATCAGCTAAAACAGCAACACAGCGGCAAAAAATGATTGCAGGAACACCATCAGGACCCGGTGAAACAGATTTCTTCAACTTCCTAACAGCTTTAACGACATACATATTGCTAACCACAAATGTACGCAAATCGATGAGACCCTCAGGAACATTGCAAGCCGCTCTTTCTACTTCATCTGCGTTGGCGGCTGAATCCGAAAAAACAGAACTGAAGTGGCGGGAAAATAGATCACACGATTCGAGCATAGAAGTAGACTCCAAATCGCCAAAAAATACGGATGAAGGAATATTCGACGATTTTCGCTTGGAGTTCACAAACTTCCAGAAGCTCTTGGGATTTCTACGTAAATTGGTCTGGACACGCAAGACATATGACTTGTATAGGGTTGAATTAAGCTTACAATAGGCGTTGCAAGCGCGATGAAAGTTGCGTTTCGTTTCAGAAGTTCGATGTCGGCGAAGTTTACGCTGCCAGGAATTTTTATCGCGTTTCAAAAGCCGCAGGAGAGGAGAACTCCAAGCAGGAGATATAGGAGGTTTTCGTCTTGGAGTGTTATCGGTGAGCCAATTGCAAATTATGTTGCAAAATTGTGCTGCCATATCGTTGACGTCATTTGTTGCCAGAATACTGCTGCAATCACAGCTCATCAGGAACTCGTTGAGCATGACGAAGTCGATTTTTGAGTAGTCGAGCGTATGTTCACCAGCATCAAGGGATTCCACACGGTCAACACAATCGGATTGAGTTGGTAAGGAGCATAAAATCGGTGGATGATGCAAATCAATAGCCAGCAATGGGGACACCGCTTCGTTAACTACAATGTTGCAATCGGAATCACAGTAATGATGAACAAAATTGGACAATTGGAGATCCAGAGACCACGTCCGGCCCGCGGGCCTCAAATTTGGTCGTTCTCATTCGCCGTGATATCATCTTGAAAGATATCGGCGCCGGTGGTTAGTGTGATTACCTCTCACCCCAGCAGGCCTGGGTCTAATCTCAGTCGGCGCCACTGGCATGTTCTACGGCATAACATCTCTGATCACGCCTTCCTTCGGGAAATAAAGCCGTTGGTCCCCGGTTGAGTTGATGGGTCGATATGTAGGGTCCAGGTGTGGGAGCTGCCTCCCTGGCGTCGGTAGCATTGGAGCTCAGTACGGAAAACAAATCTCGCGTCACTTTTCAATAGGTCCTATCTACATTGATCGATTCTCTTCATCGACACTCTCTTTCGTAAATAAATAACTCGGCTTCACAAATGTTTCCTGTCGTCTTCGTCGAATTAGATGCTAGATTGTTGCTTCTTCCATCGAAAATATCCGGCCGTGGCGATTCAAAGTTGATCAAGGTTGATCAAAATAATTTGTACCCCTGCTTCCAGTTTGATTACCTGAGCATTTTGTGTGGTCGTTGGTTCTGAATATGGACAAACAGGCAGATGAATTCTATTCCTACTCTTTACTGTAATATAAAGCTTGGTGGCCCTGAAAAGAGCCGTTTTGTTGCCAAAGTTGATGATGATTTAACCTCCGAAACCAAACAGAGTGCGTCTCTGTCACTTCAAAACGTAGATGACATCCATGGCCGCTTACGCTTGGCGTGTTTAGTGTAGGTGACAGCATCACGGATATCATTTTTCAGGAACACCTTCAGCACACCTCGTAAATCAGACCGGAGATACGTCAGGCACCGCCACGGCGAGCCAGACAACGGATGGTGGTTATCTTGAAGAATTTGCGTTTGGTTCTGAATATGGCGATGAGTGTGCAAAATATTACGCAATTCCATCCTCCCTATTCGCACGCGCCCGAGGATCGGAGGCGAATGCCACTTCGACTTGTTTCGTCTACTTACTACTCTCTGACGACTGTGCTGGGGAAGCAGCATATAAATGTAGGTAATTGGTGGATTTGTTAGTTAATCCGACGCTTTTGGACAATGCTGGACATTTACCAGTGTTTCAATAGTTTCTTGTTGAAAATCAACATTCGCATTGTTATCGATGCGTAGCCATATTTCTGATCGATTCGTGATAAAATTATTGAAATTGGACCAGGGCAGCTGAGTTATTAACGTTCAAAATCTTTCTTAATTTGTTACATGTTCTATTTTCGGTTTTCACAAAGTGTACCCCCATATAGAAATCAAAGACGTAGTCCTACGTCAAAACAACACAGCGACTGGTGTAGATCAACTACCAAGTGAGCTATTGAAATACAGTGGTGAAGCACTGGCTAGAGCGCTGCACTGAGTAATTGCCAAGATTTAGGAGGAGGATATATTACCGGAGGAGTGGATGAAAGGTGTCGTATGCCCAATCTACAAAAAGGGCGACAAGTTGGATTGCTGCAACTACCGCGCAATCACACTGCTGAGCGCCGCCTACAAGGTACTCTAACAAATTCTATGCCGCAGCCTGTCACCATTTGCAAGAGAGTTCGTGAGACAATACCAGGCGGGATTCATGGGTGCCCGCGCTACCACGGACCACATTTTCGCGATTCGGCAGGTTCTGCAGAAATGCCGAGAATACAAAGTGCCCACACATCAATTGTTCATCGATTTCAAATCCGCATACGACACAATCGATCGAGATCAGCTATGGCAGATTATGCACGAGTACGGATTTCCGAATAAACTGATGAGATTGGTCAAGGTGATGTGCGTAGTTCGAGTATCGGGGACACTCTCGAGTCCCTTTGAATCTAGAAGAGGGCTACGGCAAGGTGATGGACTTTCGTGTCTGCTATTCAACATCGTATTAGAAGGTCAAGATAAGAATAGCTGGAATAGACATGACTCCCATCCCGAGTTCAAATTGACGGTGACGAAATCGAGGTGGTCGATGAGTTAGTGTGTTTGGGCTCCTGGTGACCGTCGAAAATGATACCAGCAGAGAAATTCAAATACGCATTATGGCAGGGTATCGTGCCTACTTTGGACTCCGGATGACGCTCCGGTCGAATATAATACGCCGACGCACGAAGTTGACATCTACAAGACGCTGATTAGACCGGTGGTTCTCTACGGCCACGAGACCTGGACTATGCTCGTGGAGGACCAACGCCTTGGTATTTTCGAACGGAAGGTGTTGCGTACCATCTACGGTGGAGTGTAGATGGATGACGGAACGTGGAGGAGGCGAATGAACCACGAATTGCACCAGCTGCTGGGAGAAAAAAAACAAAATTGTGCGACTACGGTGGGCTGGTCATGTCGTAAGAATAACGGGCAACGACCTAGTGAAAATGGTTCTCGAAAGCGATCCAACAGGAACAAGAAGAAGAGGCGCGCTGCGGGCAAGGTGGATCGACCAAGTAGAAGGCGATCTGCGGACCCTTCGCAGACTACGAGGCTCACAATCACTTTGGAATTCTTTTCGCAATTGCTCAATTCGACTGAACAAGGACTTAAATTGGATCGTTAGGGAAAGCTTAAATAGTAGAACTTACTTTTAAGGTATTCATTATTTAAACACTATGATCGGCTGGCTGTTCATTTGGCCATTGAACTTTCTAAAACATCTTCAAGATTAATTGAAGATCGAAGTCATAAATATTACTATACATTTACTTCGCTTTTTCCAATGAATCATTTGGCATATTAGAAACCTGTTGCAGTACCGATTCCGGCAATAGCTCGATTTCATACAACAAAAAAGAACGGCTTAAACCACCAGTGTTCTCAAAATACAAGTATTATGAAAGCCACTCACCTGTTGCTGCAGTTGGGGCACGTGATTCGCTACAGACAGCAGAGCCGGTTCCGGTGAATCACCCGATCCCGGAAGCACATTCGAGGAAGATCCAGCAGTAGCCACCGGCTGCTGGATAACCGTCCGATGTGGATCAATCGGCTTCTGCTGTTGCTGATGCGGCGGACTGTGAAACTGGGTTTGTTGATTCTGGATAACCGATTGATGTGATACAATGACGTTTTGATTATGCTGCTGCTGCTGCTGTTGCTGATGTAACAATTGCTGTTGATGTTGTTGTTGGAAGATTTGTTGCTGTTGCTGGTTGTTTTCTGCAGGGTTGGAGGAGTAAGGAATATTTTGAAGATTAATAACTTGCTGCCGGATGATGACTTTTTGAGGTGGCGTCTGCTGTTGTTGTTGTTGTTGTTGTTGCGGTTGTTGATAGGGAAGTTTAGACTGATTCAGTTGAGCAGCAATCTGAACCGTGTTTTGCGGTTGTTGGTATTGCGACTGCGACTGCTGCGGCTGGAGTACTGGTGGGTGGTTAGGATGGTGTATCGTAACTGGGGATTGACTAAAGACAATCTGCTGCTGCTGTGACAAAGGTTGAACCTGACTCAGGTAATCTTGCTGTTGATGCTGCAACGACTGGTGGTGTGTTTGTATGGAAGGGTGGTAGTGTTCGCTTGGAAAGTTTGAAACTTGGGTTTGTGATGTGAATACTAGAAATAAAAGAAAAAGAAAATGAAGAATACAAACGAACCTATGAGAGAGATTGTCCCCAGTAGAGGAAGAAGATAGCAACAAGCAACAAGCTCCAGCGATTATCCGTTACGATGTGAGTGCCAGTGTGCCGATGGAAATGTGAAATTTGTTAGTAACCACTAGCGAGTGTTAGGTCTATGGTGGGGAAGCATAGGTACTGCAACCGATGAATGTGTCATTTCTCAGAAGACTGTTCACTATTTGCAAATAACGCTATTGCTTTATATCTTTTCCTATTTTTTTCATAAACAGTTATTATGCTGGTCACATTTTCGTAATCCTATTTCCTCATGTTCAATTAATATCGACCTTTTTAACATTATTTAGATGAGTATAATGTAAAACAGCCTTAAGAACTCCCAAAAAAAAATACAATCATTTTAAATGTCGAAATCAAAATGTAAAAGTCCTCCAGAATATTTACGATCAGCATAGAATAGATCGCCATTATCACAGTTGGTCGGCGTTAGGTCAGAGGGGACTTAGCAACATCATTTAAAAAAATAGATTATGATAGCAATCGGTTAGGGACAAAAGGTCGAAAGAGACAAAAGGACGAAAGTTCAAAAGCTAATGTAGATATTCTGAAGCTGATTTTCCATGACAAATTCTCCAAAGTAAAATATGATTTTATACTTTGAAAGCTGCTCGTTCTTTAAAATTTGGTTTTCATTGATTTTGCTGTCATGTTGAATTATATAATAAAAAATACTATTTATTCAATATACCCTTGATAGAAAATTTAATATTGAGAATTATTTGAGACACTGTGATTGAAATTTGCATTTAAGACTTTGAGTTTTAAAAATGTACTTTGAACTTTGGAAAACTTTTGAGTTTTAGGAGGGGAATGGACTTATAGCTAAAAATCTACTATTTATCAATTTTATCTACATGAACGCGTCATTGGGACGGTACTAATGGATATTTTTGGTAGCTATTGAAAATTAAGTCGATTACTGAATTTATGTACCGGCCCATTACCCATCATCCATTTCCCCGATTTGAAAAATTAATGAGAAATCAAAATCTTATAGGTATTTTGATTAGATTTTCCCTTCTTTTATATGAGGGGGTTAGAAGAAAAGGGGTGTAAGTGAAATTGATCGATTCTCTTCATCGACTTTCTCTTTCGTTAATAATTCAGCTGCAAACACATCCTTGATTCATGTGCCATTCCGGATGCTAGATGAGAACCTCCTTTATAAAACTATGTGGCAGAAATAGCACAAATTCTGTTCATAAAGCCGTTGCTATAAAAAGAGAAAGTCGATGAAGAGAATCGATCTAAGTCACTTACACCCCTTTCCTTCTAACCCCCTCATATATGATCAGTTCTTTCGAAAAATTCAGAAATACTAAGATAAAATATTAGAATCTCATATTTTTCAAAGGTTTTTCCTTCTTTTATACGTGAGCAGTATATCAAATATCAATACTATTTACTCTTCCTTAAATTAAACCCATTCTTAAAAAAAAAACACTTTTGGGATTTCGACTTTTTGTGTCAAAAGTGAAATGTAGCTGAGGAAATTCTTGTCATAACTTCAATTTTGTCAGATTTGGTAAATCTAGATAGAGCTGGAATTAGGGCGTAACAGCTTTTGTAAACAATGACTCCTCTCGATGATTTCTCGGAAACCATGGCTCTCCCTGTCAAATCAACATCACCATCGAGTAGAGAAAGACTTCTCCTACCCGATGGATATATTGGTTTGTGTAGGCGTGCCTTGAATTCCGAGAAATCAACGAGAGAAGTCAGTGTTTACAAAAGCTGTTACGCCCTAATTCCAGCTCTATCTAGATTTACCAAATCTGACAAAAGTGAAAGATTTACCAAATCTGACAAAAGAAAAAGAATTTCCTCAGCTACATTTCACTTTACAAAGCCTGTTACGCCCTAATCCCAGCTTTATCTAGAAATGTTACAAACAGCACACCGGGTTGTCATAAGAAGTAATGGTGCATACTTTAAATTCGGTTGTACGACATTACGCGGCAACCCGATTCGCGGAAGTATATTTCGCGGAATGACCCATTTCGTGAAGTTCCATTTGGCGGACTAATCCGTTTCACGGAATCACTGTTGGCAAAATTTTTGATGATTAGCATTGGATCTTAATAAAAATAAGGGAGTACTTTCATTCTTTTGAACATAAGCAGTTCTTTCAAATTTTAATATACTTGGAGGTGAACCAGCCCAAGGCTGAAAGCCTCCCTAATAAAGATAAATAATAATAATAATAAATTTTAATATAATTTTGAACTTTGGGAAACTTGTGAGTGTCTGGTTTAAAATGATGAATGCGAAATCTACATAATTCTAGGAGTAATTTCCTTCTTTTAAATATTATCAGTGTTAGATGTTTCCTTCTTTCAACCATGAACTTTCGAGTTTTCCTGTACGTTCAATATATACGGAATTGTTGGAAACTTAACTTTTTGTATTGGAATGATCCATACAAAATTTGATTGTAATAGTTTTAAGAGAATTTTCCTTCTTTCAAACATGAGTTATAACATTTCTTTCTAGTTTTTCTATACTCGTTAACTTCAACAGAAAACGCGTATAAAAAGTAAGTTAGTTATCAAAATGAAACTCATTTCACGGAATTTCGTGAAATTAGGCATTCCGTGGAATAGGACATTCCGCCAAATGGATTACCGGGTTGGTGCTCGTTGGGTTCGTTGTTTACACGTGAAATATCAATTGGATGCATTTGAAATTAATCGGGCGTGACTACAGAATTAGCACGTTTTCCACATTAAAAACAATATAATTCGTAGTTATGGTGCAAGGTGTAACAACCAGATGCATCATAGAGTTGAAAATTGGAAATACGCCATGTAAAAGGAAACGTTTTTGATGATTTTAAATTATGATTTCATCTACTTTTTCGTGTTCATTGAGTAGTTTGTGAACTGTTCTCTCTAATGTGGCAAAATATGGTTTACTTATAATTTGGCTCTTTCGCTTCTTTCAAATGTTAGTCTAGATTTGATCTTTGAGAACAACGCGAATGAAAAAAATACCTAATGCGTCATGATTACTTGAGATTTGTCAAATAACGCAAATATTTACACCGCGTGTACCGAAGAATAAATTCGACAGTGAGCATGGGGCGTATACGCGATGATCGATTCTCTTCATCGATTTTCTCTTTGCATTGCTACAGCAAAACAATTTTCTAGAATTTGTTCAATGCAGAGTTGTAACAGGTTGTATCGGCCATCTAAAGCAACAGCAAACGCACCGAGAAACGTTAAATCTAGCGAGTTATTAAGAAAAGAGGAAATCGACGAAGAGAATCGATCATCGCATTTACGCCCTTATGCATCCTCAATTATCATTTTCAAACTGTGTATGTACCTACTCATTCAAGATCCATTACATAAGAATTAATAAGTAAATTTAGTTAGTTCATGATGTTTAAAATTGTCTTCTTTCTTCCCGAATGACATTCTACATTGTATCTAGACTAACATTTGAAAGGGGCGTAAGAGCCAAAATGTAAACAAACCATATTTTGCCACATATAGAGAGAATAGTTCACAAACTTCTCGATAAACACGAAAAAGTAGAAGAAAATATCACTTCAAATCACCAAAAACGTTTCTTCTTACATGGCGTATTTCCAACTTTCAAATCTATGATGAATATGGTTGTTACGCCTTGCACCAGAACAACGACTTATATTGTTTTAATATGCCAAACGTATTGACTCTGTAGTATCTAGTCACGCCCGATTCATTTGAAACGCATCCGATTGATATTTCACGTGTAAACAACGAACAAAAAGAAGACCAAAAAAATCTCCGGGCGTAATTCCACTCTCACAAAATTTGCGAACGAAGAACCAAGGCGGAACAACAAACAAAAAATCCCGAGGGTGTACTTCCACGGCGTATCACCAGTGTTGGCAGTTCAAAGGGTGGATGATCTGGGGGGTAACAACATGTATGAAATTATCAGGGCGTATGATGTTTTCTTCTCAATTTCACGACAAAGAAAACTTTTTTTGAGTTTTTAGTGATGCACGATGATAGATTACACTATTAACTATATGTCAAGCTTATAAAATCAACCAGAAAATGGAAAGTCGTGTAATAGGATTAATTTTTAGGTCAACAAAATTCAGAAGCGATTTTCTCGATATGGTCATTTTGGAATTACGCCCTTTTCAAATGTTAGTCTAGGTATTACCCCAATATGACTATCTATAAGTAAAAGTGTACGTGTCCGTGTCAGTATGAAATGAACATCTTGCATTTTTCGTTTATGGCAACAATTTCATAAGGAGGTCAACAATTACTATATAAAAAACGAATAAGTCACATGATTCAGATGCGATTAATGATAAAAGAAACTGTGAAAAGGTTAATAGAAATGGAAATACAAAGAAACATAAAAAACATCAACAACAGAGCAGAAATGACAACAAATTGTGAAAGTTTCGGTTAGTGCATACTGCATAGTACACTCATTACACGGAAGATTAGTGTACGACAGAATTCCATTCCGATTTCTTCTGAACTTACTTAGTTTCTGCTGCTGTTGCGCCAATAATTGCTGCTGCTGTTGATGTGCCGTCATGGGCCTGTTGAACACATCCGGCCGACAGGAATGGATCGCCTGCAAGAGCAGAGGGCCTTCCTGCAGCGACTTGTTGCTGGTCGTTTGCTGACCGTACTGATCCTTCAGTTCAATATGATCCGAGTTGGTCTGCTCGATGGCATTCACCAGCTGCCCGATCAGGCTATCGTCCCGCGTGGCCAAAAGGTTGTTGGCTTCTTCGGCAACACGTGGATGGAACAGCAACGATCGGTTCAGCGCTGTCGACACCGTCGAGAGGGAGTCCGATATCGGCAGCTCGCTGAGCACTACAAGAGAAAGGTACTGGTGTAAGTAAAGAGAAAAAATAAACCAAAAACCACAAGTTGCAACTTACTGTCCGACAGACTGGTCAGACCAGCCAAGGTGGTGATTGGAACACTTGGAATATCGCGATCCCCCATGGTTGCCCGATGTCAGTCGCTGCTGCTGCTTTGCAAAGATAGATTCTTTTGGTTGGAGCAAGCGAAAAACACAATATCTGTGTTTCCTTCTCGCCAGCGTTAATGATTGACACTTATGTATCTTCAAATAATTTCGCTTGGCTGCTACTTGCTAATGTTGTTCTAGAGGAAAATTCATGCTTCTGTAACGAGACAAAACAGAGAGGAACGATTTATGCTTTGGATCCCCAAGGGAAAACGATGACACACGCAGGTTGGCTGAACGAACCGCACACATCTTCATATATTTGCCTATGTAAGCAAATTCTTCATCAACATTTCAAAAGGGTGAAACTGCTTTTGTAAACAATGCCTTTGCCCGTCGATTTCTTGCATCAGATAGGGGAATGTTTCCTCTACCAGCTGGTATGGCTAGTTTGCTAGTATGAGCTTTTATTTGCGAGAAATTGGTGGTTGAAGTCATTGTATACAAAAGCAGTTTCGCCATAATGAAATGTTGGCAACGAATTATCAACACACTGCTTTTCGATATGTGTGCTGGTGGTGCTGGTAAGGGAGCTTTGACCACCGAAAAATAAAGTTTATTGTCTCTTTTGGTGGTGCCTGCTGCTGTTGCTGCTGCTATTTCTCCACTGCATTTGCCATGACGCGCTTTCTCTTCTCCTCTCACGGTATAACATTTTTGCTCTTTCTCTTTCACGTATACCTGTATGCTGGTGGTGGGATTATGACTTGCTGACTTCATAACAATGGATAAAATGGGAATGGTTCACGGATTGTAGCTACAAATACGATCGTTGTACCCCTTCATCTGCATCCCTTAAACGCTGGGCCAGACTGAGCAGTTATAACATAGATCCGCGCTGCCCAACGTGCGACCCGCAGGCCGGATGTGGTCTCTGAATCTCAGCAATGGCATCATTCTAATTTAATTTTATTCATCACTAGCTGAGTGTGCCCGGTCTTGCTCGGGATTCAGTATTAGCTTGAGTTTATGCGCTGATTTAAAAAAAAAGCATGCTATATTGTACGTAGCCCCCCCCCCCCTATTATCTGAGGGGCTACCCCCTATGATTATCTCCTTATACCCCCACACTCGCCCCCACATGCCTAATTTGGTTCCATTTGCTTGATTAGTTCTCGAGTTATGCAGAAATTTCTGTTTCATTTGTATGGGAGCCCCCCCTTACAGAAGGGGGAGGTGTCTCGAACCATCATAAGAACCTTCCACGGCTCCAAAAACCCCTGTATACAAATTTTCACGCCAATCGGTTCAGTAGTTTCCGAGTCTATAAGGTTCAGACAGACAGACAGAAATTCATTTTTATATATATAGATTATTAATTTCAGCCCAGCATGAATGAGAAAGAAACAAAATGCGGCTTTTAACATCCCTAATTAAAAAAACATAAACGAACGATAACCGAAATGATTGAACTATTAAACATATGGTGTGGTTGAAATCCCGAATACGTCGTTAAGCGAAATAACCATAACAAATTTATTAGGGATGTTCATCGAAGATAGATACAGCCATTTGAAAAAGCAAATTTTGAAAGGTTCGGCAGGATTACCATCTATGACAGGCCTGCCCAACCTTTCAAAATTTGCTTTTTCAAATGGCTGTATCTATCTTCGATGAACATCCCTAATAAACCCGACGATACCACATAATGGTCGGATGATAACCCGAATTGGTGGTAGAGCACTTCTTATGGTTATTATAAGCCTATCTTGATGACATTTACACGCTAATTATAACAACATGTTATAACTCAGTAGTCTGAAAGTGGTATTCTAGTACGTTCAGACTACAGAGTTATAACCACAATCAAAGTGACAGACGACTAACTGGCGAAGAAATCAATTAACCACTTCATCCGAGCAGTTAAAATGACGTTTACTACCACTTGATCTTTGAAATAAAACATTATTTTGATATTTTATTTTCTAGAACCACGAGAAAAGTACCCATCATTTGTGCGTTTCATAAAAAAATAGAAATTAGTTGGTCCAGTTTTGTGGAATCGCTGGTAGAAAGTCACGCCAAAACTGCTTGACAAAGTGGTCAATTAAAATAATGTGGTTCGCTCAATCTTGGGGCAACATTTTTCTCAGTGTGCCGCAAGTGTACCGCTGGTGTGCCGATTGTGGCGGCAGTGCCGGGCATAGAGCAAGCTTCGATTTTTTTTTAAAGCGAATAGTATGTTATGTTTGCCAACCCGGTATTTCTGACAGCTTGAATGTTTAGGTTTGCAATCGCAACGGCCCCGAAAATGTCTGTGCGAAAAGTCAATCTTTTTCCTGACCAGCAAGAAGAAGGTCGATTTCCTGAAGCAGATCGAGAAGGACGGTGAGGAGGGCATTCCGTCAGTGAAGCTGTTGAATCGTGGCGAGCCTTCATCAGACGGTAGACGTATGCAACAAGTACCTCAAGGATTACATCATGGAGATTATGGAAGCTGATAAGAAAGTAAAACATGTTAAACTGTCGGAGGGTGACGAGCAGGCAAAAACAAAAGGTACGTCTCCGGTATGGATACCAACTAGTTTGACATGTGCTACCCGGCGATTATCCAGTCGGGTGGCAATTACAGCTTGAAATTCAGTGCATTCAGCGACAAGACCTATCTGCATTTAGGGTGCGCGTTACAAGTCCGACTACTCCAATGTCGTCCGAACGTTGCTGGTTAATCCGACGGAAACGATTCAGAAGCACTACACCTTTTGCTCAATCTGGAAGAGGAACTGCTGAAGGTGATGATTCCGAGCAAGAAGCTCTCGGTTTTCGACGTTGGAATGGTTTATGCCAAGAAGAAGGATTCCAAGCTAAGACGTTCGGTTTTACCATCGGGTTGGAGTTCCGGGAGAATTAGATCGATTTGGAAGGAATCCTTAGTGATTCCTATTCAAAAAGTTGCTGGAACGATTAAAGCCGAAGAGTTTCGTCCCATCAACATGTTGCACACATTAGAGAAAATCTTAGAACTTGTTGTTAAAGGCCAGCTGTTGGAGTATTTGAATAGCAACTCAAGGTCATTCTTGTGAAACTGCATTGAATTTGGTGTTAGCAAAGTGGAAAGACAACTTGGAGCGTAAAGATACGATTGTTGCTGTTTTTTGGATCTGAAACGCGCTTTTGAAACAATTTCTAGGCCCTTACTGTTAAGTACAATCAAGCGCTCTGGAATTACGAGTACTGCATATAAATGGTTTGAAAGCTATTTGTCTGACAGAACTCAACGGACTGTTTTTAATGATTCTGTTTCCAGTCCCGTGGGGAACAACCTTGGAGTGCCCCAGGGAAGTGTATTAGGGCCCCTTTTATTTATTATGTATATTAATGACTTGCGACGTGTTTTACGGTTTTGCGACATTAACCTTTTTGCAGATGATACTGTGTTATTCATTGCAGCTAAGGATTTAGAAGTTGCCGTCTCACACTTGAATGAAGATTTGCAGTATCTAAGTAGATGGTTGAAGTGTAAGCAGTTAAAATTGAATACAAGTAAAACTAAATTTATGGTTATTTCGCGGAATCGATTAAATGAGAACGTCTCTGTTGTAATTGATGATTAGACTATTGATCGCGTTCAGGAGATTAAATATCTTGGCGTGATTATTGATGACAAACTTAAGTTCAACTCTCACATTGACAATGTCATCAAGAAAATTGCCAAGAAGTATGGAATTCTATGTCGACTGAAAAACTATTTAACTATTGCCAGTAAAATACAGCTATACAAATCAATCATCTCTCCTCATCTTGACTTTTGCCCTTCCATTTTATTTCTGGCCAATGCAACACAAATATCGAGATTACAGCGCTTGCAGAATAAAATAATGCGTTTGATTTTGAGATGTAATAGATTCACTTCCTCAACTTTGATGCTAGACCCCTTACAATGGTTGTCGGTGAAGCAAAGAATTGTATATTTGACTATGGTGTTCATTTTTAAAGTAGTTAACGGTTTGCTGCCTCGATATTTGTGTGATCGAATTGAAAGAGGAAGTGACTATCATAGATATAATACTAGAAACGCGGATGAAATAAGAACACCACATTTCTTGACTTGTGCTTCACAGAATTCATTATTTTTTAAAGGAATAAATGTTTTCAATTCGATGCCTAGACACATTAAACGTTCAACAACATTAGCAGTATTTAAGAGACATTGCATTTCACACGTTAAAACTGACTTTAGGCCTTTTTATGTATAAATTATGTATCTTGACGAAGTTATTTTTAACGGATTATTTTGTATGGATAGCTGTTATAACGACTTTTTAATCATTATTGTAGCACTGCAAAAACTATTTTGTTCGCCACGATGGTGATGATGGATTTTTGATATTTGATTTAATAGTAGTAGTAAAAAAAAAGTAGTCTACAAAGGTTTGAGCCTCGCGCGCGTATTACGGATATAGAGGACTGAATTTAACATTCGATAAAAAAAAATGCAATTTTGAAGCTTATTTGGAAGATACCTTGAGTTAGTAGTAAGTTTTCTGGCAAATGTTGGGGGTTCGTGAGCATTCCTGACATTGCTGAAAATTATGATAGCATCAGATTGCGGGGTTACTAGTGTAATAGGATGCTTTGTTGATTGTTCATTAACTCTTGATTGCTTGTAATACTTATGAATATTTTAGGTGGACAAAAAGGCGAACTAAGAGGGGGACGCCTGAGCTTTTCAACATTTATATCGCTGTGAAGCAACTGTAAACTCTAGAGGGAATTTATATCTGTAACTGAAACCAGTTCGATTTTGTTTGCCAACCTGGTTAAAATGTCATATTTAATTATCTTAAAGATAAATCGTCCAGCTCAAACCTTTGTAGGGGTAAGAGGTGGGACCATCATCATCATCAGTACCTCAACAAGTGAAATCCGGTTTAAAAATTGTAAGTTAATTATGTTGAGTTGAACAATAAAAATTCCGTGTGATTATGCCGTGAAAATTAGTTCGGTATTGTTCAAATGAGTTTCGTTTGGTAGACGACCAGTTGCTTCCACTCAACCTAATTAACTTTTATTTTGTTACAAATATCGAAAGCCATTTATTTCATCTCGTATAATATGACACATATCCGAAAATAAAACTACTCTTTTACTTAATTCTAATTTAAACCGAAATCTCACTTCAAGTTTACATACGTCGCATCGGTGGTAAGGGCTTCA